ATGATGATGATGATGATGATGGTAACAATAACGATGACGATGATTATAATGTTGATAATAATTCCGTTATTTACCCTCGACATTATTTATAGCACTGATGCTAGTGGCCTTAAGCAAACAAATGCCTTAAACGAATACTTTAAATCACACTTAACAGAAGAATCCCAACTACCCGGAGGCAAACCAGTTGGCTATTTACAAGCCTGGTCGAGGATTTGAACTTGGCACTACCGTGAACAAATTCAGCTAGCGGTCAGGGCGGGACGTCAACTTGGGGCCTCCGAATTGCAAGTCCAGCGCTCTAACCGCTCGGCCATGCTGCCTCTTCCCAATATATAAGTACAGATTTCAAACCCATTTAGAAGTTGTAAACTAAGGATCTATTCCTTCTCAAAACATAGCTAAGTACAACATTATAGATTGTAATGTATTTTTTTAAAGACTTTGAGGTTTATCCCACTTGTGTTAATGGGGAAAGTCCGGGTCCCTTGAGAAGATCACTGTAAAAGGACTTTTCCTTTTCCAGCTTAACACAAAAGAGAAATAGGTGACAGGAGCGTTACTTGTATTATTTCGCATCTCTAGCTTTTATTGTCCAGTGTAATTTTACAAATTTTCACATCATGAGCGTTGTCAAATACTGATACCTCTCTTGATTTCAAATGTTACAGCCCCTGAACCACAAAGATTCAAGGTAAGTAGTTTACTAATGTACAAATTTTGTCTGTCATCTATTGAGTGCTTTGTTACCAGATGTAAGTTACTATCTACCTCTCTTACAAAAAAAAATAATGACAAAGGACCTAAATATTAGTATCTAGCAAAACCAATTAACGCTAAAAGATAATGGAAAACAACAGGGTTTTTACTGATGTCGAGGAAACATTTGATGGCCTGGAAAGCCTTCGGTGTTTTTTCAGCACCAAGGAATTGCCCATGTGAAAAAGGGATGGTTTTGCCGGGGTTATAAGCGACTAAACAAATCAGACGCTTCTGAATCCAAACACGCAAAGCTTTTAAGTCGAGTCAATCCAGTTGACATGAAAATTATTACTATTATATTTTTATTATTTTTCTATTTCAAATTTAATCTATTTTATCATCTATTTTATATTTTTTTAATAAGATTTATCCCAAAGATTCACCTCAGAGAATTCAGTGGTTTTCCCCTACTGTATAGAACTATTTTGTTCCAGGTTCTCTCTCCGTTTCCAGAAACTGTTATACCACATATTCTACTCGGGTTTAAACCAAGAACGGTGGAATAAGTGTTCCGTTGTGGAACTTCAACAATACCAACGAACACCGGCTCGGGTTGAAAGGGTTGATCCTAAGTTTTTACCGCGAAAAGCGCTCGTTTTACAATTTGCAGTTAACGATGAGTTTGGCAAAATTTCGGTGTGGTGTACCGATATATAGAAAACCACTTCATTCTGGCCTATATTACAACATCCGCAAGGTGAAAAGATGTTCACACTTCACTTTTGTTCCAAGGATGAGTTAAAACTAAATCCGGCGAGTCCTCATCAAATGGTATCGGTGTGACTTGAAAATGACTGACAAGCTCGTTTATTGTTTGAAAACTCTTGCTGTCGTCCATTGAACCAAACTGTGCTATAAAGCTGCTGCTTTCTTTATCATATTTAAACGGCAGATGCCGGAACGAAGGTCCCCCTTCTGGAGCTCTTACGGTCAAGAAAAACGCTTTACTGCTCTCTCCACGACGAACAAGAAATGTGCCCGGTTTCACCATTGACGAAAGCATTTCCTCAGCTTCCTGCTCTGTGATTTTGCTATAGAAATAACGTTCATTGCAAATCTGAAACACAGAAAATTAAAGACAAATATGTCAGCTTCAATTACTGGGGTAAGAGGAAGCCGGGATTATTCTAAATATCTCTGCCAAGTGCCAAAAGTAGACCTCTGGCATTCTCTTGGCGCAAACTTAGGGACAATAGACTTGCCTCCGTATACAATCAACTCTCTCTATATTAAGACAGACACCTTCGGGACTGGCTCTGACTGTCAGTCTTAGAGCCAAAGGTGTCTGGCTTTTTGAGAGTTAAGTGTAAACGGAGACTCGGGGTGCGTGGGAAATATTGAATGCTCCCTGAAGTAGCCAAAAAAAACGAAAGCTGGTCTGGTCATCGGCCTTAACATAATCGCTCAAAGGCAGATGTACCGTAGAACTTATAGAGGGGTGATACTCTAAACAGACTGCAAAAGAACGCGAATATGGGGATAAAGAGGTGATGAGCTATAGTAGGTAGAGCGGGGTGAAGGGAAGGGGCCATGCTTAAGGTGGCTAAAAAAAATTCCATCTGGCAAACTCTCTGTATAACACCCTAGCTCAAGTCTTTCGTTCAAAGACCGCGGGTGCACCCGTATCGCCAAAAACACGGTTACCCGCAGTACAGGCTACTTACTCCGGCAGGTGATTTTTTGCGCGGTTTCCCAAGGTCCACTTGAACCATGAACTGCCCTTCATCGTCGGACACGTCACCGTTTTCGTCATCATACGCGACATTAAGGTAGTGTTTCTCTGAGCGAGATATGTCCTTGACCGACCTCTCCCTCTGAATAACGGAATTTTGGTTCTCTAGTCGTGTCATCACTGCCCTTTGCTTGAACCAGTGGTGGAAATTTATGGGCTTGTTTCGTCTAAAACGGAAGAGACCGTGGTTTTGTGGTTAAACATCAGCAGTTTATCTTGTAAGATGTTTCAAGTGCAAAGTCTTTTTTTTAAATACAGCATTTCTACACAGCGCCAAAGAAAAAAATGCGCTGACGGTCACCAAAATGTTTTAATTC